CTGTTAGTCTATTCTCTTCCTCCACACTCTCTTGTGTTCTAGGAGGTAGATGGAGGCTCTCGAGTTTATCTATAATCTCTTTCTCCCTTTGCATACTAATTTTATGGAAGTCCTTTGACCACTCCTTAAGTTCCCTTTCGCACTTGCCTAGTTGGTCTGTCGATTGTCCTCCCGGGTCCCTATTTCGTGCCACAATCTCCTTGCATTCCTCTTTCTCTAGCCATCTTTCATCCATCCTAAATGGTGTCTTTCTGTTCCTTCTTCCTTTATAGTGAAGCTCTAGTCCGATTGGGCAATGATCAGAGTCCACCATCTTTTCATGGAATACCACTGCTTCCCCAAATAAAGCCCGCCAGGATGGCGAACAAAGCACTCGATCTAATCTGACACTCGTCAAATTTAGGCATGTTCGCTTGCTGGTCCACGTGAATGGTTACCCCTTAAAGCCCAAGTCAATTAGAGCATTATGGAATATGAACCTCTTAAACGGTTCCACATTCTCGTACCTAAGGGGACACCTCCCTTCTTTCTCATTCTCATAGATAACAGCATCAAAATCCCCTACAATCACCCAGTTGTCATCCCTACTACTTTGAAGAGAGCTCAGGTGCTCCCAAAAACCCGTCTACTCATAGCTGTAGAGGGCGCATGAACAAAAGTACAAAAAAACTTCTTACCCGTATCAATACTAACATCAATATAGTAGTTATCGCTATTTAAAATTTCAATACTAATACCCGCTTTCCACCATAAAGCAAAACCCCTAGAAGAGTTAACCGGTTCAACATACTCTCTATTGGGGCAACATTTCAGACCTTTCCTTTGTTCTTCCATAAACTCCTCGTTCTTGCTTGTTTCCATAAGAAAAACGATCGAGGGGCCCAAGCAACGACAAATTCGCTTAGCATAACTTCTTGTAAGGGATGGGCCAAATCCCCTACAATTCCAACTTAATATACTCATTCCAGATGAGGTGGCTTCTGGCGAACCATCGCTGCCCTTGTATCCCCTCCTTGTTCTGCTGAAACTTGATCGGACTGTGTTCCCCTTGGGTCGCCCCCTTGATGATGCTTTGGTTTCTGTACCTTATTTTTTCTATTCTTCCCTCCAGGCCAACCAATAAACGCAGCACCTTCTGGGCTTAAACAAAATCCATCAACTTCAATACTATCAGAACTGGGCCTGTCCCCACTCCCTTGACTCGTCCCCTATCTTTTTTTCTTCAGTCAACCTGCTTCTTCTTCTAAGGCCTCATTCATGTGGTGGTATTGGGCTCGAGCGGCTTGGCACACTTCACTAAAAAGATGCCCTTGCGCCTCCTGCTGACTCGGCCCAAGGGTGAGGTTTGTCTCTACCTCCTCTGCTTGTCGACGGTGGTCCTGGTTACCGTCGCTCTCCACCAATCTCAATCCCCATTCCAACTCTACCGCCGCTCTGTCCATGTCGCTACCCAGGTTTCTTGCCCCCATTTCGACCCTGAACCTCCCTTTCAGTCTTCCTTGTTCTGCCTGAACCTCCCTCTGCGACTGATGATTTTCGATTCTCTGAATAGTGAACCCTGGGGTAACACGGTGATTCCTCTCCGATTGGCTTCCAATCTCCACCGAGTCTCCTGCTTCTTCTTCTCCCCTTCGATTTCCACCTCCCGATCTCGACCCTTCTCTTTCCCCCATAAATCTATGAGTACCTCAGCTATCTCCACTGTTTCTAAAGTTGGCCGAGTTTCGTCTATAGGGGGAGTCGATTCCTGCTTTGAGTGAGGAGTTGTAGATTTTCGACAAGTGCGCAACTTCGTTCTTCTTCCTCTCTTCATTCATTCTCCAGCAAGTGGGCAAGTTGTGCCCTATCCTGCCGCAGAAGTAGCATAATTCCACGAGCCTCTCATACTTGAATGTAATCTCATCACAGTAGTTTATACCTGTGGTTTCATCAAGGAAAGGAAAATTGAAGCCAGTTGGAACTGGTTCCCTGAGGTCCACCTCCACCAAAATTCTCAGAAACCTTCTGTATCCAGCATAATCAAGGCTGGCTCTGTCCAGATCAAGGAGTTCCAAGAAATAGGAGGAGCCTATGGCCTCCATATTCTGCTCATTTCTTTGATTCTGATGCAAGCCATGGATTTGAACCCACATCGAAACCTTCACAATTGCTATGTCTTCTGGTTTCCCTCACCCACTATACTTTTGGATCGCAGTGAGTGTGTTTGATAAGCTCCACGACCTATCCATCCAGACTTTATCCCTTATCTCCTTGTTGTTGAATGTGAAGATGAATAGGTTTGGAGTTTCTGTTGGCTGGATGTTCACCTCTCCATAGCTTCCCCATGCATATCGTGCTGCCCCTGCAGCTTTTGCAATCACACCTTGTTCTCGGTCAGCATCTTCCCCAGCAACATTGAGATTCCTCGACCGCCAGTGGATGTGAGGGTTGGGTGGCCTCCTCTGCCTCTTGAAGATGAAGGGATGATGCCTCTTGCCGTTGGCCTATTTGGTGCCATGTTGTTGTTGAATTCCATAGGATTATTGAGGGATTGGGCAGGATTGAGAGGGATTCTATACTCTGAAGAGTTCTGGTTTTTGGTAAGCCAATAACAGGGGTAGTAGTGAGCCGAGATGGTAGAAAAGGTAAGGACTCTTCTATTCTCTGGACACCTCCCTTTATTGCTCCCCTTCTGAAGATGAGTCTCTCTTCCCTCTTAATTGTGGTTGGTATATTTCTTGTCAACAACTTCATAATTTCTCTGCTGGCTGAAATGAATTTTCCTTTGCTTTTCTTCTGCCAAACCAGTGGCTCTTGGCTCTATGTTCCCTTCACTCTGCCTTAGGCTAGGCTTAGAGTCTCCAGAAGCAAATCTGCCCAGCGATCTTACCTTATTCTCCCCTCTTGTCTTCCATCTGATATGCCTTCTACTGCCATAACTCCCCTAATTTGGTGGTTTCCATAACTTACCCTCTTTCCCAAGTACTCTGCCTCTATTGAGTAGTCCCATCGGGAGATTTCTTTCAAACAATAAAGAAAGAAAGCGCCTCTCCCCTTCTTGATTTGTAACAGCAACATAGTGCTCTTTGCAGGTGGCATTGAAGATCAACAGTTGGCTCTTAGATTGAGCAGAAGGAGTCCCAATGAACGGGACGGAAAGAGAACCATTGAACGGTTCAGAGAATAGATATGTTAGAGAGAAGTAAGAGAGAGACATGTTTTCATCTTTTTTTAGGCTGGTATCGAAATAGAAGTTCGTGGTGGCAATTTCCTTCTCCACGACTTCTAGCGCAAGGCTCTGGGGCTTGAGGAGATGGCTGGCGGTGAATCGGCGACCAAGTAGGTTTTGCTGCTGTCGTGGAGGAAGGCGAAGTGGCCATTTAAGTGATTTTACACTCAGGTTAAATTTATTCAACCATAATTGACCCAAGATAATGGTCAATTGACACAAAAATGGATGGAAGGGTAGATTTGATAACTTTGTTATAGTATAAGGGCAAAATTGATGTGAAACATTGTGGAGGGGCATGTTTGACAACTTTGCAAAGTAGAGGGGCAAATTATACCTATAATCCAAGTTAAAACTACGGCTAATTCCACTAGGAAGTCCAAACTATACTAAAAGTGCCATTCGTGTTCTAAACTATTCAATATGACAAATTTGGCACAAACTATATGCGTTTTTCGACATTTTTGTCATAGACTATTGAATATGACAAATCTGGCACAAACCACATAGATGCTGACTAGATTTCCTGTTAAATACTACAGTCAACGCCGGTGAACATTAACGAAAAATATTTCATGTCAGATTTGTCATATTGAATAGTTTAGTACACAAATGACACTTTTTGATTAGATTGGAGTTCCTGGTGGCAAAGCAGTCAAAATTGGGATTTTACCTAAAATAAAGAAACCGGGGTAAAATCGGAATCGTAAAATCGAATCGTAGAATCGTAGGATTTTAAGTACCACATAGAAATTAACATATAATAATATTAATAAGGTAAATCATTAATAATACAAAGACATATAACATTTATAGTGATAATTTTCAAGATTAATGTTCCAAAATCATCATTTTAATTATTATTTAATGCGTAACTCAAAATAATTTATGAGGAAGGGATAGAGCTCATGGGGTTTGGCTCTTATTTTTCAGGTTGTGTCTAGGTAGTTTAACTAAAAGTAGTGTTCCGACATTGTCTACTAAGCACGATTTAAAACTAAGAATAAGTGAACTCCAATAAGAATTTTAATGTCATTGGTTTGGTACAAATATATATGCATTAATCAATTAATTTGTTAATAATGATGTTAATTCTTTCGTACTTACAATATTATGACAACTATTTTACCGATGAGTTAAACAAGGGGAAGGGAAAGTGGTTGACCGAACCCTAATTAGGTTATTTTTTTCTTTTCAAATTTTCTTTTAATATGAAAAATATCTAAGAAGATCCCCGTCATTGCCCTTTCCACCGAAACAGTTCTGCTTCTTTTGAATTGGCTCAAATTGCCTATTTTTTGTTCACATAGGATCAAAATCCCGATTTTGGTACGATTTTACGATTTTGATCCCGATTTTGAATGATTTTAAGGTCCACCGATTTTATATTAAAATCATGATTGGAATCTCTAATTAAAATCTTAAAATCCTACGGTCTTATGATCAAAATCCTGATTTTGACTGCATTGCCTGGTAGAATTAGCCCTTAAAATTATTTCATCTTTTTAATGATGCATGTTCCATATATAATGCTTGTTGAAATATTATTTAATTGATTTCAACTTAAGAATAAATAACACAAAAGTTTAAAAGCATGACATTTCTTTTTAGTCAACTTGAATATACAAAGTGGTAGATACAACACACCTTTTTACCTTTATTCTCATTTTATCAAACATCAGAAATAGCGCAAGCACATAAAAGAGCAATTGTCTCATTTCCTCAACTGGAATGGGAACTCACCACATAACCAACAAACATTAGTTAAGGGCACGTTGCCTAAGCCGATTGACTATTCGGAATTGATCTTCTCAGTAACCATCTCCAAATTGACATTCGTAGTACTGTTGTTGTTGATGGTGGGATGAGTAGCTCCATAGGGACAAAACACAACCCTATAGTTGGTACCGCCGGGGCAAGTGAAGGTGCTGCTTGGATCATCCTGAGGGTAACTGTAAGAGGTAGGGCACCTGTCCTTAAAGAACCTTGAAAAATAGGTTGGCCCACAAGTCCCGTACCCTTGAGTGCAACAGAACTCATTGGTCTTGTACACGGTACAAGGGTTGTTGCAGCCTCCCGGGGCCCGCAGCTCGTTGGGGCACTGCGTGTTGATGTCAGCCGCGCAGGTCAGGCTCTGACAGTTTCCCGAGCCGACGTTGTTCGTAGGAGTGAAGATCATGGGGATGTTGAACCCGTCCACCAGCGATATGTCGTAAAAGTCCAGGTTGGAGAACTGGTTGAGTGCGTACTCGGCCAGCGTGTTCGGCGGGACCCCCCAACCGTTGCAGTTGAGGACCCCGCCACAGTCGCCCGTCTGGCACCATCCCCTGCCACTAGCGTCAAAGTTGCAGTTGGTGCGGCCCCATATGCGGGCCATGGAAGTGCCCGCGGGCGGGTAGATGGTCCACGTCTGGTAGGGGTCGAGGCGGCGTCCGCCTCCGATGGGGGTGGACGCGGCCCAGACGGTATAAGGACAGTTGTTGAAGATGTCGATCACATTGGCATTGGAGATGGTCGCCCAAAGTAGGAAGGAGGAGATGAGCAAAGAGGGAAAGTAGCTCATCTTTGATTGCTTGGGGAGTTCTTTGGATTGTGATTTGATTATGAAAGAACTATGAATCAGATTGATTTATATAAGGAGAGCTCCCTAGCCGGCCGTGATACTTGACTGTAACATCATTTGTATGTCGACACTTTTTCCCCTCTTGCAAGTGTCCTTTCTATTGATTAAACTAGTGAGGCTGCTACTAGGCAGAACATAGTTTATCGCAAGTGAAGTTTTGTTTAATAGCAAGTGTGTCCTTTTGAGGCTGCTACTTTGCAAATTGCTATCATCCCTCACCAGCTCCCTGTAGAATATCCAGTAAATGATTTCCCTACCAATCCTTATCTCTTTAGCTAGAGGTGCGTCCATAAAGCTTGAAAAAGGGAGGGAACATAATTTGACATAGAGGCTGCTTTAACGTGGATTGGGACGTGCTTTAGCAACTTGTACGTAGTAGATGGTAGTGCCTAGTGTAGTTCTTAAATGAACAGAAAGGTAATTTGCTCAAAACTGGTTGGGTTTATTTTATCAGATAATCATTTTCGATCATACATGATAAAACGTACAACTAGGCGATCAAGGAGTACTTTAAGAGTATGAACTATAAAAATCGATCCAATTCATGTAACTTATATATATATATATTTTTTTTTTTACAAAAGATAATCATTAATTGATAGAAACCAATCGATAGTTACAACCTGGAAGCCAGCCAGGACTGGAAATCAAAATAACGACACATAGACGGGAACAAAGACAGGGCTTGTCTAGCTACCAAATGAGCTACCATATTGTTACCCCGACCTACAAATCGTACATTAAAGCCCGGATTACCCCTGAAGATACAAATCATCTCCTCCAAAATAGCCCCCACCCGGCTGTCATGCATATAAGCTCTGTTGATCTTCTCAATAACCACTTTAGCATCACCCTCAAACCGCATGACCTGAAACCCCTGCGCCAAGCACCAACGAACAGCTTCCCGAAGAGTCAGGAGTTCCACCACCATTGGATTATCCAGACCGGGAAACTGAACCCCCGCAGCCCAGAGTGGTTGCCCTGCCTCATTGAAAATCACCATACCTCCTGCAGAGTGCGACCCCCGTCGAACAGCTCCATCCCAGCGACACACAGGTCCCCCTGCTCCACTTACATCCACAGTAGGAAGAGCAGAAAGGGGAAGAGGGGAAGTCTGGGGGTCCCTAGGCAAGCCAAGCCACTCCCCTACCTGTTGGGTATACTGTCTCATGAGAGCCTGAATGCTGAACTGTTTTCCTTCAAATACCACCCAATTTCGGGATCTCCAAATTCGCCACAGAATAGCAATAACCGCCATGAGCTGCGAAGGTTGATGCAAAACAGCCATCAATTTCTTGAGGAATAGAGGGAAAGTATGACGGGGCAACCCCTCAACAAGAGAGTCCAGCCCCGCCTGCTCCCACAGAGCCGTAGCCACAGGGCACTCAAGGAACAAATGTTCCATTGTCTCGCTTGAAGCCCAGCAGACCGAACAACGGGGCATAACCTCCACCTTCCTTTCAATTAATGCCTCTGTTGTTGGAAGAATTCTGGTCAAGATTTTCCAGACAAACACCTTCAGCTTCGGAGGGACATTAGCTTCCCACACTCGGATCCAACTACACTTATCCATCCAGCTCACCTGCGATCGCCATCTCCCACTCTGCTGGTCCAGCCGAACTGCCAAATGATAAGCCGATTTGACAGTAAAAATCCCATCCTCTGTATCATTCCAGATCAATCGGTCCTCTACCTGATCACGAGGCAGAGGTATCAATTTAATCGCCTGACACGTCGGGGGTTCAAACCACTGGCTTAACTGATCCTCACACCAACACCCTTCCCCTGGACGGAGGACAGCCGAGACCATCACTTCCTCATCCGCCGGCAGAACCCGGGGGTTATATCTCTTGATTGGAATAAATCATTTATGCGCCATCTTTTGTTTAATAACAATGACTACCGTGCTTCAAGTGGATCAAGTGAGATGTGGTGTTACTAGTAATGCTGTTAGGTTGTAACTTTACTTTGTTAAAAATAACCCTAAGGTCACCATACACAGCTGTGTGATTACACATAAATTTTCTCCTTTTGTGAATTGTGATCTTAGGCAAGCAAATAAATAAAAAACTATCATAAACCAACTGATCTCAATAATTGAGTTGTTTGAGAGCGGTATGGTATTTAATCATTTTCTTACATGTCCCTCAAACGAAAGTCAACTCATAGGTTTGAAGATTGATTGTACATGCCCACCATACCATGTGTTTTAAAGACAATGGTTAATATTGGGAGTCGTGAGGAGTTGAAACGTGACCACAAGGACAAACCAGTTCTCATAACCATGTTATAAACCAACTGATCCCAATAACTTGAGTTGTTGGGAGAATGTTAATTATGAATCATATATCACTCTCTTACACGATCCTTCAAACGAAAGTCAACTCAAGAGCTTGAAATTTGCACATACCCACTATAGCTCATACTTAAATATAGTATTATTATATTGAGAGTCATGGAAATTCGAACTCACAACCACTCATTCAAACGAGCTCTTGTATCATGTAATAAACCAACTAGTCACAACTATCGTTAACTCCAGAGAGAAGCCCGTGAAGGCATGACAAAGATCCCAGGTCAATTTTCTTCTTCAATAACAAATACGTTTGTTTGTTTTCAATCTCTCTCAAGCCAATTTATTTATTTTTATATATGATTAATAGCATTTTGTACTTCTCAATCCTTATTTTTCGATAGGTTTGGATAATTTAAAAGAATCTGAAAAAGGTTTGGATAAAAAAATGGACATTACCCTTATTTTTTGCACTTTCATGTTCTTCAAATATTGCAATGTAACAAACACACCCTTCTGTTAGTTGACTGTCAAACTGCATATGAAATGACTATATTACCCCTATATTTTCACTTACAATATAATTATAACACAGAAAACATAAATAATTAATTTGTTATTCTTTTAATAATCCTATCCTAACAATACTATATAGAGGTTTTTGGCCGAACTTCACTTAATTCACCTTTTCCTGCTCTCTGCGCAATCCACGGAGGAAGATTTTGGTAATTGTATAAGTCAGACCCTTTCTTTTTTATGAAAACGCAAGGTAAGTAAGCCATGTCAAGTTGATTATGATCTTTCTTCTTTACCACATGATACAGCAGTAAGACTACATACCGGTTCTTCCTTTCTTCTTCCCGATCAGCCGGTTTTTCTAACAAAGCTACGTTTGCTTCCTTCTCTTTTGGCTTTGGTACGCTGCATGAAGGGAATGTGAAGGAAATTGTGGGTAATCCTTGTGAAATCTAATATTCCGAGCAATTACATTAACATTTATATATTACAGTATAATTACTAAATACTTGTATGTATTTTATCTGTTTAGAACTTCTGTCGTTTCATTTTTTCTTTTAATTTGATGACTTTCGTACTAAACAGTAAACACTTATAAAATCCTTATAATACATTTAATATCCGTATTTAATAAATTAAATTGTTAACTTTACTATTATTTAGAAATTTATTTATTTTTAAAATAATGTACGTTTGCTTCCTTCTCTTTTGGCTTTGGTATGTTGCATGAAGGGAATTGTGAAGGGAATTGTGGGTAATCCTGTCAAGTCGTTTCATTTTTTTCTTTTAATTTGATGACTTTCGTACTAAATATGTATAAAACCCTTATAATATATTTAATATCCGTATTTAATTAATTAAATTTTTAACTTCCAAGATGTTATGGAGATAAGTATGAAAGCTTCCAGGATGTTATGGCGATTTGTAGATGGGCGGGATATCTAGATCTTTTCATCACATTTACATGTGATCCTGCTTGGGCTGAGATTCCGTACATGCTTGTTTTGATAAGGACTAATACTAGGAAATATCCTAATAGTGTTGACGTCCTCGCACGAGTTTTCAAATTGAAGCTACATCAATTGCTTAAGGAGATTTTGGAGAATAATTTTTGGGAAAACATGTGCATGTAGGTTATATTCAGTAATTTTACTTGAAGGATCCATAGTTCATTATATTTTTATATATTATGATATTTTTTCATTTCATATGTAATTGCCATTAATTTAGAAAACGTGGTCTACCTCATGCTCATTTATTTGTTTTCCTTGTTGCAGAAGATAAATTATATAGTCTTTTAGAAATAGTTTCAGTTATATCTGCTGAAATCCCAGATCCTAAAGCAGATCTTGAATGTTATGAAGCAGTTGCAAAATTTATGTTTCATGATGCATGTGGCATTTAAGGATCTAAAGCTCCATGTACAACTAATTGTGTATGCTCTAAACATTTCTCGAAGGAATTCTGCAGCCAAACAACTATTGATGGCAATGGTTTTGTAAGCTATCGACGTCGAGAGAACAACAGATCGTATATGGTAAATGGAGTCTCTATAGATAACCGATTTGTCATTTCCTATAACATATACCTATTGCTGCGATGTCAAACACACATCAACGTCAAATTTTGCAACAAGTCAAGGTTAGTTGTTCATCTCATGAATTTTAATATCCTCATTAAATTAATCTTATATGCAAGATAAAAAAAACTTGATGGTGTAGTCATTATTAAATTAATCTTATAGAAGTGTGCTTTCATGATTTGATAATTAATTCACCTACTTATCTTTCGCTTAATCCTTTAATTTGTGGAAGTGGAAAAAGACACTTGATGGTGTAGTAATCATAATAGTCAAAAGTGCTAAAAGTGCTATAGTACTCATATCCAATTATTTGGTTTGGTCCACATTTTTAATGTTTGATTTGGGTTAGCAACCATACTCATAGAAAAATTATAGTATTCTAGCTGAATTTAATATATTTTAGGATTCAACACCTAAAAATAATTTTCTGGCATAAAAGTCCAAAATTAATGACGATAGATTTGGTTCCTACAAATTTCTTGCTTACATTTGTTACCCAATTTTTTGCGTTATACAAATTCCAGTAATTCGGTATGTCTAAATTAAACA